ATATATATATATGTATTATTCACTTGTTTATATCTTTATTTATATTATTTATTGAATTATCTATCGATCGATTTATCTATCTATCTATCTATCTATCTACCTGTTCATATACAAGAACATAGTATCACAAGTCAACGTAGGGTTTCTGTGAAATAGCACTGGTCACAATGATCATGCTCATGCTCAACTATATAACTTCTGACAGCACATAACCCTAAATCCTAAGCCCCTACCCTAAACCCTACACCCTAAGCCTAAATCCTGAGCCCCTAGCCGACACAAATCCTGAGCCCAAGACCTAAGCCCGGAGCTTTCGAGGGAGCCAGAAAAGGAAGCAAAGATCTCCAAAACCCCTAAATCACAACCCTAGACGCCCAACAAGGACGAAGCCCAAATCTGCAAAACATGAAGATGCGACCTGCTGCCACTCGGCACCCTTCTCGCAAGCGCTCACTGCCGCGCTCAGTAGGATGACGTCAGGATGCAGAGACTCCTCCTGAGGGGTCTGGTGTGGGGGTGGTGGTGGGGGGGATGGCGACTTTAGGGTTAGGGTTTAGGGTTTAGGGTTTAGGGGTTTAGGGTTTAGGGTTTTAGGGTTTAGGGTTTAGGGGTTTAGGGGTTTAGGGTTAAGACCAAAGATTTTTGGGTTTGAGCTTGGGGCCTTTGTGGAGGGAGCAAGGTGGGGGCAGTGCGGATACAAAGCTACTTGCGTACTGGGCGGCCCCTAAGCTCCTACTCTTTAAGGCTTAGGGTTTTAGAGTTTAGGGCCCTGGCTGTGGGTCGCCGTCTTGCGGCTGTGCGGAATGCTGGCTTTGGGTAGTTGTGGATCGCGGCGCAAATATCTGGGGTGTAGCGAAACCCCGAACCTCCGCAACTTAGCTGCAAAACCTAAACTGAACCCTAAACCAGGAAACCAACCCATCCAAAGCCACCTGGAATCCACACAACCTACAACCTTAAACCCTTGGGCTTGCCGCCCCAACCCCGAATCCCTATCTGGGGTTAAGGGTTCAGGGGCCCCCAATCCCTACACCCTAAACCTTAAACTCTAAACCCCGAACCCTAAACCCTGAACCCTAAGCCCTGAACCCCTAAACCCTGAACCCTAAACCCTAAACCCCCCGGGCCCCTGATCCCTAAACGCCTGAGCCGCTTTCAGCAGCTCCAAGGCCAGTTGCCATCTGCCGGCCTTCTCACAGGCACTGACCTGCATTCCCCAAGGGCCCCCATGTGCCAATATAGGGCTCCTTGAAGGGTACTCATAAGGGCTCCTTTAAGGGATCTTATAAGGGTTCTATAGCGTTTAGGGTTTAAGGGTCCATGTGCCCAAATAGCTTAATATACTTTAGCCTGAAAGGGTTTCCCTACATGGGTACTCTAAGGACAAAGTATCAACTCTATCGGTACATGGACCCTTTGGGGCTGGGCCGGGAGAACGGCTTTTGGCTGTCGGGGTAGCGGCTTTACTAGTTCAACCTTATGCTTCGAGGGTTTAGGGTTCAGAGCTTTAGGGCCTGTATGGCTTAGGATTTGATCGTTTGGGTGGGCAGAAGAACATTCCCCTAGGACTTTCTGCTATGCTACGAATGTTGTATCCTCACTCCCGTTCTACTAAGTCTATCCTACTTGCCGTTGTTCTTGTCACTATCACTCTTGTAGGATCACCCTTGCTGCTATGGTTCTGAAGTCCCTGCTTCATTGAAAAACAGCTATGGCTATTGTTGGTGCCCGTTGCCGCCATGGCTATCGCTGCTGGCATGTTTCTGGGCACTTTGCTCCTGCGTCTCAGCTGCACCCACGTTGGATTTAGGGCTTCTTGGGGAGCGAAGTGTAGATGTAGTGGTACGTGTTTAAGTTCAGTCCGGCTTACAAGGCTCAGGGTTCGGATTCATGGGGTCAAGCTGAGTGCTGGACGGCGTCTAGGGCTTAGGGCTTAGGGGTATGCGCTGCCGATGATGGAGGGTCGATAACTCTCCTCGGCTTATCGCGAGTGGAATTTCCTGGGGCAGGGGCCCTCTCACCTGCAGTGGTTCACGTTCCGGGGCTACGTAGTGCTCAGGGTAGGAGACTTACCACAGCTCTGCAACAACCCTCACTTTAGGGAATACTGGAAGATGAAGGAATGGCATAGGCGGTCTGCGCATCAGAGATGGACACTCACTGTTCCGCGTATCGGCTGAGCAATTCTTCGCTTCAGACCATTTCACGGACTCAGAATCCTTCTTCTCTTCGGACCGTTTCATGGACTGAGAACCCTTCACAAACAATATACCAAGTGCTCGAACCGCAGCATCTAAATCTAAAACCCGCGAAACCCAAAACCCTGAACCCTAAACCTTACTAAACCCTAAACCCGAAACCCGACTCTCCCCAAAGACTCCAAAACCCCTGAATTAAGGAACCTACTTTAGGTCTTATTAGGGTTCCTGATATTTTTTTAGGGCTTTAGGGTTTAGGGTGTAGGGTTTAGGGTTTCGGGTTTAGGGTTTAGGGCTTAGTTTAGGGATAAAGGCAACATGAACTGCATCGGAAGCCACACACGCACTGCAGGTGACGAGATTTCCACGGAGACGCCCATCCTGTACCTTCCGCTGAGTTAGGGTTTAGCGGTTGGGGTTAAGGGTTAACAGGGTCAAGATGGGTCAAGGGCTAATTATACGGTTCGCAAGAGAGTCATGCTAGAACTACCCTGCTCCTTCTTGCTCCTGCATTTCACGCTGCTTCACCGGAGCAAACTGCTATCTTGGGGGTACACCTCGAACTTATGGTTCGTGTGAGAACCAAGTATGATACGCCCCTGCCTGGCTTTCTGTGTCAGATCAAGGGACTCCTACTCAGACGGAAGCAGCGAGTTTAGAGCCTAATGTATGGGCCTTAATAATTAGAGTTAAGGATTTGGGATTCCTTAGTATACTGATAGTAGAATATACCCCAAAACCCCATTTGGGTTGTCGCTTTTCACCTGAAGCTGATACCATCAGCAACAACGACAACGATTGCATTCTCTTCACCGAGCCTGACCAAAAGAAATTTGAGCACTTTATTCGTGAACAGATTCGTAAGCGATTCTTTCAACAACTGGAGCAAAAACATTCTAGATGGACAGGTGTTGTTGACGCTGACCTTCAAGCAACGACAAAAGTGCAACGCAGCTTAGAACCTTCATCGCCTTACAGGAATCCCGTTATTCGGACGCTGTCTGATGCACATGCCACTCCTTATAGGCTTTTGCAGATCGGAATCAAAGCCACGCCGCATTGTCAATATTGTCTTCACGAAACAGGATGCATTCAGCATATTATGTCGGATTGCCCAAGGTTTACTGAGATTAGACGTTCTTGGCCTCGGGAGCTCACTGATCGTAATCAATGGCCTGAATGCTCCAAATCGGCTCTTATTTGTTCGCACTTGCTTCCTGAATCCACGCGTAGCAAGTGGCATCAGCTCCAATTGCTAGTCGCGCAGCTTTTATTTCAGTGGATGGAGATGAACAGAAATCCCGAAAATTACCAACAATTTGTCCCGGAAGAAATTGCGCAAAATCAGGCAGGTGGAAACGTTTTGCCACAACAGAGCAAACAGAATGATGAATTATGCTCTGCGCGCGCTCTTCCCTTGCAATGGAACCCCCCTGGCACGCGTACCGCTTGGAACAAGTGGGGAAGTTCCGTGAAAGATTTTGCGCTGATTTTCTCCTTTTGGACAATATGGACTGATCAAAGATGTACTAATGCTGTCAAAATTCGCACTTGGACTCAAGCTTTAGCTCTTTTTGTGCAGTATGGCGGAGTTGATGCTGATTTCTTGGGTCAGAGTCAATTTATAGGTATGGCTGCCTATAGATTAAGAATTCTTACTGCATTTTTGTTTTAAACACAGCAACAAAATCATTGTCATGAATTGCAAAGCATGACTTTCTGAATGATGCGCAAAAAAAATGGCTTGAAGCTTTTCCTAATGAGACAGCTTTTCCGGAATGCTTGTTCTTCATCCCAAGATGGGATCTTTTAGAGGCTTCTAATAACATTCAACGAATTCGAATTGAAGCTCGAATGACATCTAATGTCAATTCGCAAGTCCTTCGTGTTACCACTGCTGCCTTTTGTGAAGCAGTAGGAACGAACGCAAAAATTCTCATGAGCTCTCCATTATCGGAAAATTGGCCAGTTCCTAGATTCAGTAGGAAACGTGGTCCTATCCCTTGGATCCAACAAGTTCGCTTGATTAAAGATGATATTAAGAACAACCGTGTCACTGAGCAAATTCAGTGTATCACGCAGATTGCTCTTGAAAGATGGACTGCTATGTCCTCTGACGAGATCAGAAGCGCACTGCCGACCAAACCTGGTCCCATCAAAACATTCCGAGCTGCGAAAAATCGCATTACTAAATTTAAAGAGGTACTTGAGCGATTCAAGCAAAATATGATTCTTGAAAACGATCTTCATACGCATGTTCTTGAGCCCATCTGGGCGCCTACTGAAACTTGCGCCTGTTGCAAGAAAATCTTGAACTTCTCCGTTGAACCACGAAACATCACTCGCAGATGTCCTAGCACTTCTCATTTTCCTGTACAGATGCTCGACAACTGGTCATTAAAATATGACTCTATGTTGCGAGACATTGATAATATATTGTCTAAACTCTCTTAGGCGAGTAGCTCAAAAGCAGCTATACATTCCCTGGATGCACAAGTCATCTGAAGCTTGCTCGCCACAGACTTTTGTCCGATCCACCCCAAAAAAACCCCATTCTAATTATTAAGGCCCCTATATTAGGCTGTGGGCTTATAGCTTCTGAAGTGGGCTTCATTCAGGGGTGAAGGTCTAGGGATGTACAGTAACGGCGTGTTCAATCTAAGATCCCAAATAATCAAAGAGTGGTTGCGGGTTGCTGTACTGTATGCTATAAGTAACTGTCGGTCAGATTTTTCTGGATTTGTCAGGCACTTATTTGGCCAAACACCAGCAGGTTTACAAAACGCCGACCCCAAAACCGAGGAGACCTAACTCCTTCTAATTCATACGCTTTAATTAGATCTCTAGTTAGGTCTAGGGTTGAAGGTGTATAGCCTTAGGGCAACCATGCCCCTCTCTCTATCTATCCATCTATCTATCTATCTAGCTAGCTATCTATCTATCATATCTATATATATATATGTATATATGTGTATGTATATATATATATATACATACATATATATATATATACGAGAGCAATAACTACTGGAGGCCTCGTGCAGCAACTGAAGCGCCTGCTGCCACCGCTCTGCCTTGAAAGGGCTTTTCAGCGCAACACGGTAAGTTTGGGTTGAGGACTAGCAACATCATACTAAAGAAGACACCAGCCGCGGCAAGAAACAAAAACAAAAAACACCTGCAGCAACCTTAAACCCTAAACCTTAAACCTAAACCCTAAAACAGGATGCAACAGGCTTCACGACTTTGGCGTTCACTCTTTCGGATCAAGCCTGAATAACCCGCACTTCGGCCGCGGCACACCTTGTTGGGTCATCCTATCTCGATACTTGGAGAAGCCCCAGAAAGTTGGAACATGGGTCTAGGATGATTAGTGCTAGGATTCCTTATAATTACCTGTCCCTGAGGGCATGGGGACAATGATGTTCCAACTTTCTGGCTTCTACTACAGCTCTGAATCAGCTACAAAGTTTCATCTCCCTGGGCCGCCGAACCACAAAGGAACAAACGAAACCTTGGACAACCCCATAGGTTTCATTGTAATTCCTTGTTGGGGTTACCTTATAGGATCCCAAATATAAACTTGGTTAAACCAGCAAAGGAACTACAAGGGAGACTATAGGTATAAATAGTCTGAAAACTTCGCCCACAAACTTCCGAAACTTGTGATTTCCGCGGAGCCTTGCCGTAGGCAGTAATGGCAGAGCCATAGGTGATGATGGTCCCTGTGCTGGATGTGCATACGGCGGCACTGCGGCATGTAAAAGTCTTGATGCTCGCATGAACAATATCATGCAACAATGGATAATAATGGCAACACCGACGCCAACCGCATACCAACGCAATAAGTATAAGTACCAGTATGCTCGTATCAACACAAACGAGACAGTTGCAAGCGCCTACAAACCTGAGCAAGCTTGATGTTTTACCAACACGACAGCTTGACCATGCGCTACCTGCATGATCATACGGTCCAAACGGCTAAGCATGTTCCCAAAGAGAACCAAAGGATAGCTAAACAATCGACTCAGGAACACCGGTACTGACATATTCAGTGGTGTCATGAGTTCCACTCTTCATTATCATCTCCACAGAAAGAACTTGCCCGGCGTTATGTTCCTCTGAAAGTTGCTTCGTTGCTTCAAAGCACTCTCCCTTACCTAGTACTTGGGAGGATGCCAAAAAGTGCAGTGGATCCCATAAGAGGGATTTCTGTAACGTATCCTTTGGTAGTAGAGGCCCCCAAATTAGGGGTTCCACCTTCCAGATCCTCCCCAGGGGTCTGGGTAAGCTGCAGCAGGTAGATCAACTACATCAACGAGGGTCAAAGGAAGGTCCCCAGAGAACCCAATAACCCCTGAACTAAGGAATATACCTTAAATCATCATAATATTAAGGCCCCCATTATTTAAGGCATACTCCTTAATTAAGGGGTATTGGGTTCTCTGGGTCCCCTTTTTCGAAGCCCTGGGTCTCCTTCTAGGTCTCTTTGAGTGGCATCTTCCAGCAAGACCAGGGCCATCTCCCATTCCTTGCAGCATGAGGCCTACTTGGTTTAGGGTTTAGGGTTTAGGGCTACTTGTCCAGTATCCTGGGGGAATTGAAGGTTAACCTGAGGGAGTATATAGGAAGTATATATAGGGACTACTGTATACTACCCCGAAAAGGTCAAGGGTTACCTACTCTACTACTAGGAAGGCCTCAAAAGGGGGTCCAGGGGTTTGGGGGTTTATAAAGCTTTACTAAACAGCTTTGCAGAAGATTGTACAACCTCTACAAGGCTTTAAATGCCTTTGATAGGGGTGTATAGCTTGCTTGTTTAGGGTTTCATTGAAACTTACCGGGGCTATGATTTCTTATAGAATGCTGTAGCTATTTCTTTTGTAGTTGGCTCGTTGTCAGACGTTCGGTGTCTAACAACGAGCACTTGCAACAAAGAGAGGGTTCACACTTTGGGCTTGCAGGGGTCAGAGCTGTCATGATGTCTGTTGTAAGGTAGAAGTACTAAGTAGCACGGTGATGGTGATGATCGTGATGATGGCACTGATTTGCAGCACGCGGGCGAGGAAATTTAGGGTTACAGTCCGAGGGCAAGGTTCTTTGATGCATGACTCGAGCTTTCGCTACGGGATCATGGCAACAACTTCCTTCGAACAAGTCGGACAAGAAAAGAAGCTGCATAGCCACAAAATCTCGAATGACATGAGTCCACAATCCGTCAGGACCTGGTCAATAGCTAGTGGACGGTCTCCACAGCAACTCTTCGATACCGGGTTCGGTGGGCATCGTGGAAATCGCAATGCATTGTAGTCCAGGGTTCGGCTAGTCTTGGATGCATGCGCGCATTCTCTCACGAGCGCCACGCTGGCTTTTTTCGAGGGCAATGAGGGAAGTAGGCTCAGGCTTCCCTACGCCGCAGGGCTTATGCTTTCTGTTACATAGATGATGTAAGCCCCTCCCACTTTGAATCTACGAGCTAGCCTGCTTAAACGGCAGGCGTCGCAGCCGGCGATGGTTGAGTTGAAGGATATGATGTCTGGTTCCAGTTCCTCAACAGACACAGGGTGTTACAAGGCTTGACAGGGTTATAAGCCCTATAGAAGCAAAAATTGTGATTTGAGACGGCCTTCTGAAGCGGGCGGGGCTGAATAGGGTTTTGGGGTCCTCTATACAATAACAATAAGGAGCCCCCAAAATAGTATAGACAATTATTCAGGCCCCTATATTAGGGTGAATGGGGCTGATGCCTTCCTGTTGAGTCTGGGGTTTCTGCAGGCTTGGCTTATGTAACATAGGAAGCGTTAGCAAATCTAGAGGAGGGTTTTGGGGGGCATATTACAGTAGCAGTATACTTACAACAAGAATGGCAAGGTTCAGCATTGGTAATCATTTAGACTTCAATATTAAGATGGCTTACGTCTAAAGACCTTTACCTGGACCTTAAGTACCCCCTAGCCGCCCCGTTGTTAGATCGCAAACTATGGTATCGAAAGTATGAGGCTAGGTTAAGGTAGCTTGGATTGTGCCGGTAGCCGTGTTGTGTAAATGCTGCGATACTGATTACCCTAAGCCCAACAAGCTGAATACGTGGAACCCGCTGAACCCTACACCTTAAACCCTAGACGACTGGATGACACCGGAAGCAGATTCATGACAACAGGTCCCATCAACACAAATCTACCCTAAACCCAAACCATGAGCTTTCGAAGGCAGTCTTCATCCCAAGCAACCTTTGCTTCACTTAAACGGTCCAACATGTAAGGAAGCCGGAACCCGAAACCCTATATCCTAAACCCGAAACCGTAAGTATGCCTGACATTGCGGGTGTACATGTGCTTATACTACCGTTAACCCGGAGCCATTTCAGTCCTAGCCCTGTTTCATGATTTCCCTGGTCCCTAAGCAAGCACGGCAGTATGGTACGAGTGAAGGGCTTTGGGTTTAGTTGTAGGGCTTACGAATTTCGGTTTAGGGGAAGAAGGGCCGGTTCTACCAGTTGAAAAAGACGAAAATGACTTACGCTTCCTCTCAGCTACTAAGATACCAAGAAGCCTCCACCTGCATTTCCTCGAGCAGCTGGAGTGTCTTTGCCCACTCCTGCACCCAGCTCTCAAGACACTGAAACCAGGTTGCTTTGATTGGCGGAGAATAGGAACTTGAAAAATTGGAGCAGGGGCAGAACAGGAACTTGGAGGAGTGACATCTTCGTCTCAAGCAGAGGGGCTTAAGTTGCTTTCTGGGATATTGTTCCTGACCAATAAACAGCCAATTGCAGAACCAAAGCCAGTCAGGAAGGGCAAAGGGCCAGATGCTGGCGAAATGTTGAAGGCTCCAAAAAAACACCAAAAACCCTAAACCCTAAACCCTGAGGTGTTGGCGCAAGGTAGGTACCTAGAGGGATCCTTGAGACTTTCCAGTGCTTCTGTGGAGCGGCTTCTTAATTGAAGCACGAACGTTTACAATGCTAACTTCGGTTGGTTTCAATGTGATAGCAATGAAAGCCATGGCGGCAACATTCAAAACTATCGCAGTACGAATCATGAAGCCTCAACCATATTTTCCATGCATGTATTATATATATATATAGAT